CTGAAGCCAGGACAGCTAGGGTGCTGCCAGGTTGGTCCCGCAGCTCCGAGGGGAAGCGCTACTGGACCTACCCGGCAGCACTCCAGCTATTCTGCCTGCTTCCCGGATTCAGCTCTGGTCAGTTTTAGCAGCGGCTGAATCGGGGAAGCCGGGGGCAGAGCAGCTCCAATGGTCCAGCTGCCCAGAGCACTTCCAGGTTCCCGATGGTGCCGGACCATCAGGAGTGCCAGAGCATTGGATGCCGGACCAATGGAGTTTTACTGTAGAATGAATTGAGTAATCCCGACGAACTTCAAAGAACGCCAACACAAAAGCCAAAGAAATGAACCAACGCTTTGGGATCGTAACATCACTTTCTTTAATATTCAAGTAACAAAAACATTAACCAAGCACAATATTTCCAGCATGCAAAACACAGACACAAAAACAAATGATGTATCAGAGCGGTATGAAAATCTAGTCTTCAAAGTAACAAAGACAGCCGTTAAAAAACACCCCACCAAACATACGCGATAGAGCCATGTGACTCAACGGCCCTGTAAAAAGAATTCCCCCAGTGGTGTAAGCCAGCAAAGTTCCATGGAGTCCCTTAGTATTATGCAGATTTGCATTTTCTCGGGCTTGGGACTTACGTGAGAGTTCTTTGAGCTTCATCGGTGACGGTCATGTGGTCCCGCCCCAAGGCAGTACAATAAGACTTCGTTTTGGGGTCTACACTAGGGCTAGGGGATGCAACTCAACCTCACTGAGCCTTATGTCTCTACCCCATCCCACTTCCATACTCCCTTTACACTCTCTCCTCTTTGGAGCTAGTCTGGAGATACTCATGGAGTTCATAGTCCTCCCCCTCCAGCGTGGGCTCTCTGCGGGGCTTCGGTCATGTGATGGGCCTCGTTCATGAATGTGGGCTACTATGCTCAGGAGCTGAACAGACACACACCCAACGCATGCTGAAAGGGGATGCTGTCAAGGCCTCCAGACACCGCAAGGATCCAGTTGTGGAGGAAACCTTCTGCCTTCATTTCTGCTCCAGAGAGCAGAGTACTTAGAGCTGTTCCCAGGAACAAGGGCAACGTTCCCTGCTAGCTCTCAACGTGGCGGGTTGAGGGAAGGGCTTCTGGGATCCCTATTTTGCTTATCCCTTTAAACCATCAAAGCCCCACAACAGAAAATCCTCACACTGCTAGGGAGTCGCTGTCCAGAGACCCATCCAAGATACCCCTTGAGTCAAGCCTGCTGAGGGAAGAATTGAGACTTCCCATGCTCTGGATTGGGACAGATCCCTTTCCTGGGATCTTGGCCTACAATACTCACAGCAGGTTGGATTGTCCATTGACCACCGAGAAGATAATAGTGACCCTTTAAGGGGTGAATATTCAAATCAGCATGGAAAGAATTCATGAGGAAGCCCTAATGCCAGGGAAGAGAATCACTCATCTAATCTTCCCTGGGATTCCTGCTCCGAATGTAACTCTAATTCATTCCACATGGGGACAGTCAGCTGGCTTCCTTAGAGATGACATCTGCAGGAGTACCAATGATGCACAAAGCTTCTCAGCTCTCACATCAAATACCAGGCATAGGAATAACAATGGGGTTTATATATATATATATATATGTTCCCTGTCTAAGGACAATCAAATTAAATATCACACCAACTCAGCGTTGTATGGTACGTGACGGGATGAGGCAAGGAAGTGTCTGGGTACAAGTGATGGCCCATTGCAAATGTTGGATCTGCCCACTATGCTTAAAGAAAGGCCACTGGAACTAAAGCACACAGCATAAAACACATCAGGCCATGATTTTTCCTCTCTTCAACCTGCCGTGGCAAAGCTGGGTTACAAAACTCGGGCAAAGATACACTAGGGTTTAAACACAGCACCGTTGCTTTCTTTGAACATCACTAGAAGTTGCGTTAAGGTCTCCACGCTCCCCAAGAGGCTTGGGTGAACTTTATACCTTGCATGACCTTCCCTTTGCATGAGGAGATGGGCGAATTGTTGTGTTGTTTTTACACCCTGCTCTGTAACCGAGATCAGCCACCAGCATTTCTGCAAACAATTTCCTTTGGTAGCTCATCAGCACAGGCCTTTGGGGCTAGCAACCTGACTCGCAAAGGCCTTTTGTGCCTACCGTCGGTGGTGTGTGGCTTTTCGTCACAGCTGCAAATGCAACCGGCATTGATTTACGTGGGCTGGCAGACTTCCGCTTTGTTGTGTTATGAAATAGAAATGTCAATTGATTAAAAGAAATGGGTAATGGTGCATGGAAGAACCATGCTTTTGGCTTTCACCAGCTGTATTTGAAATATTAACCATCTCTTTTAAAGATGAGAACAATTAGAACACACTGGTGTTTTTATGGACCTCATCATACTGGGAACACCAGTAAAAAGTCAAATCAAGGTCACACGAATAGACAATGAAAATGCCCTACACCTCATCACAGCAAACCAAACACAAGAAGGAAGAGTAAACCAATGTATATTTTGTCTGAGTATTCCTTTCGGTTTCTTTTTGGACTGAAAAGTGGTATAAACCGATAGTGTATCTTTGACCCCTACAGGATTTTTAGACATAGTCATACTTTGAAGGGTATGAGCGTTTCCCGTCATCACTACGAGCAGTGTCATCATATGCTGAGACTTTTTTACTTTTGGCTTCAGATTCGTAGCCAGTACCAGCCTTGTAGGGTGCGGTCTTGTAGGCGATATTCCGTCCTGACGCATTGTAGGACACTGTTTTGTAACTGAAAGAGAAATAAAATACAACGTCGGCGATTCAGACCCTGAGAACCTCCAATGTCCGTTCCACTGTGAACTTTATTCCTGTGAGTTCCTGGATTAAACACAACTGATTAAGCACTATATTTATTCCTGTTATTTGTATTATAATAACCCTTGAGTCCCTGAGGAAGATGAACGTCCACAAACAGATTTGCATAATTCTCTCCTCTAAATTTACTATTTGAAATGCTTCACCGGTTTCTTCCACAAATAAATTCCTGGACCGCAAATTGTTTGCATTGCCATTTGAAAATGTAACAGTGAAACACACAGGGACAGATTCTCACGCTTTAGCTCCTTTGGCTTGGGAGGCTGCATGACAGGTTACCAAATTTGCAAGCCATGCTGTGATTTGTGTAACCAAGTTAGCTAACAAACACAGTGCACATTTTGAATTGTGTATTTGACTGTAAAAATTGCAGTTCGTACCTTGTTGATATATGTATATATAATCCCCCAGTCCGGGAAAAATGCAATACCAGTGGTCATTCATGTAAGTAATCAATAGAGGTTGAACCTCTCTAGTCCGGAACTTTTTGGTCTGGAAACATCCATGGTCTGGAATGAATTTAGGTAGCCGGATGTTCACTTTTCATGCATGTGGCCAAGTTTCCCGCGGTCCCATAAAGTTTGTTTACAGCCACCAGTCTGGCGCTCAGTGTCTGTGCTGTTAATTAGCTCTAATCGACTCCTAAATTTCCTCTAACAGCACAGGAAGCAGCGGAAGTGTTGATAATGAAGTTAAACAATATTGACTTCCTGTCATTTGACCTCCTGTGATCTGGAAAATTTGTTCGGAACTGGTCAGGTCCTGAGGGTGCCGGACTAGAGAGGTTGAACTTGTACTTTACAAGTGTACTGAACTCTTAGGGGGCCCACAGACATCATGATCACAGCTGAGCAAATAATTGGTTTTGAGTGCCGGGGCCAAAATGCACAATCCCTTCTCCCTCTCCCCCAACAGTTGGCTTCAATTCAAACCCAAACCCATTTTTTTCGAAATGTTTCACTGACTTGAAAAGCTTTCAATTCAAACCCAAACCCATTTTTTTTTGAAATGTTTCACTGACTTGAAAAACGTGAGAAAATGAAGTTTTGGTGAGCTTATTATGAATGCTTTGCGGGTTTCCATTTTGCTTCTTTTTCGCTGTTGTTTCACAGTTGTTCATTTAAAAAAAAAGTGGCCGCATTTCAAAATGAAGCAACGTTTCAAAATAAAACAAAACAAAAAATCGAAAAGAAATGTTTTTTACTTAAAAAAACATTTTTGGCCAAAGTCATGCATCATTCTCAGCATGAATTTGTGAATAGTTTGTGCCCCTAAATGCATTTTTCAGTGAAATTACTGTTCTCTGAAAAAAACCTGCCAAGCTCTAATCATTATATCCTTTGTAACCAGGGTGTGCTAGACAGAGTAGTCTAAGCTAGAAATTTACCATGTGCCATATAATACTGCAACCTGCAAAAGAGTGCCCATTTCTTCCTGATACATGCTCAAAGGGTATGTCTAGACTGCGGATTTTTTCTGCATCTGTCGCGTCCAAGGAACGCATCTGCTTTTCCGGAAAAAAAACCTTCAGAAAAGCAGACGTGTTTTTTCGGCACCCCTGTAAACCTCGTTTTATAAGGAAGAAGGGATGTTCTGAAAGAGGCTTTTTTCCCCGACATTTGGTGCAGTGTAGATGAGCTAAATGTTGGAAAAGCCTCTTTCCGAAGAAAAGTGGAAAAAGGTATGCATATTGCAATTTGCGTATCTTTTTCCGACTTTTCTTTGTCATCTAGACCCAGCCAAACACTATTTCATCACCAGCAAAACTTACAAGGTAGAACCAAACACAACTTACTGGGTTTCTTCTGGGACCAGTCCCCTGCAGGCAATGCACATCATGACGCCCCCTACCAGGGACAAGCCGCCAGCAACCCAGCCAACGAATAAGGCTGAGCCAAAGGTGTATCTACAAAATAAAAAAACAAAGGGCCCGTACTTCAATGAGGGTGTAGGAAATTGCCGTGCTAATTGCTTTGAAGTGTATGTAAGACACAGAATTCTGGCCTGGAACAAGACCTGCTTTCTGCCATGTTGTTCTCTTAGCGGAGATCTCTCTTAGTTTTTGCCTTCCGATTTCCCTCTGTCACAACAGCAATGAGTGTGACTATGTTTCATCCCCACCACACTAGTGTGATCCACGTCGTAGAGTGGGCAGATGTGTTCTCCCTACTCCCCTCGTTCAATGAGTGAGCATAGACACCACATTGTTTGCGTTGCTTGCTTGTTCATTTCAGTCTTCAAAGTGCCCACTGAAGGTATAGACAGACTCCCATTAACTACCCTGGGCTTTGGGTCAGATCTTAAAGCAGGATTAACTAGCCACAGGGGGCTTGTCTACACTACGGAGAAGATCAACCTCCAGAGGTTGATCTTCTAGCACTCAACTTAGTGGGTCTAGTGAAGACCCACTCATTCGAACTCAGAGGGTGCTCCCATCAGTGCCAATACTCCTGGTCCTCATGAGGAGTAAGGGAAGCCAATGGGAGTGTTTGCTCCTGTTGACCTCCCTCTGTGAGGATGGCCCAAAAACAAGATTTAAGATATATTGACTCCAGGTACGTAATTAACGAAGCTGGAGTTGCATATCTGAAGTCGACTTTCTCCTTTAGTGTAGACCTGGCCAGGAAGACCTCCCCACTTCCTTGGTCCCACCCCATGTAGGGGAACGATCAAGTGTCTCCTCACGATAGTGACTTCTACATCGTGCCCCCTTCCGTGCAGCCATACTAGAAAGATGACATTGCTAGGTAGACCTGTCCCCAGCTGAGTAGATGCTTGGGGAACTGGCATTGGAAAGAGCAGACCTGATGGATGTCAGGGGACCCCAAAGGTGGTTTCAAGCTACACTGTGTGCCCATCACAGCTAAAGATCTGTCCTCACAAATCCATCAGTACACGGCATCCAAACTCGTCTTCAAGCACAGACTAGACTCCATTGCTGCAAGCTTGGTCATTCTAGGGCAGCCAAGGCTAGCTACCGCATGCCCAAGCGAAGATTTTGCTCCCGAGCTGTACCAACCTCCCCCGACTGTTCTGCACAAGAAGAGAAAGTTACCTTGTTTGGATCGTCTGCATCGATCCTTGGTACATATTGGCTGTCGACATCCAGAAGTTTGTGACCAGCATGTTGGCAAATACGGACACTCCCGCAATGGCGCATAGACCTGGGAACAGGGAGAAGGTGGGAGCATGATTCCCCACTGCCTCCTGTGGCATGGAGTCATTCAGATCTTGCAAGAATAGGCATCAAGGGCTACCTCCCCTTCCGATGGCACTCGCTTTGCCCAAGCTGTGCCATGGCAGTGAGACCAAGAGTCATCAGGTTTCTATGTAAATTGCTCAATGATAGAGCACTCCAGAATCAAAGCATCCACTACCTCATCCCTTCTCTTTCCCCAACCCTCCCAAAAACCATCTTTCTAGGAGCGCTGGTAGATGCTCTCTCCATTCAGCCTTTTCTCAACAGCAAATCTGCGGGTCACGTAAGCCGTGATTGCTAAAAAACCCACCTTTTTCCTGGTTTTGAACGTTCCGTTTTCCAACAAAACACTTCAAAGAAAGAATTTTCATTGTTGCCCACATTTTTCACGGGGAAAACCAAAATCATTTTGCCCCCCGTTGCGATAGTGAGAAAGGTGCAAATAGCAAATACCTGCTGTGAAGGTTTGCTGGGGTTGGAGTGAGGAATCCAAACCATGCACTTGCATATCTAAAGTCACAGATATCCCTGTCCCAAAGTGGGGAGGGAAAGACTCAACCCCCGGAAAAACCCCTCTGCTTGCCAACCAGCAATGCTGATGGTGACATCTTCCAAAAGCCCCATCTATCCTTAATCCAGACAGCAAAGTCTCTGGCTCCTCTCCAAGGACCCCTGTCTAAAGCATGCTGCCCACTGAAAAGTTGAGGGCTGTGGAAATGAAATGGAATTTAATAGCAAATAAATATGCAAGGAGTACCCGATTGATGGCCTGGATGGGAAGGCTTAAGGAGCCAGGACCACAGAAACCAGTGGTGTTAATAAAAGCATCAGAAATATTGCTAGAGTTGGGGTTCCTGCCACTCGAAATTCTGAAACGTTCTTTCCCTGTGCATCTTGACTGTATTTGTTCTTTTGCTTTTTGTTTTACGGAGACTTTCCTAGTCTCAAATTCAGCGGATGAACATAAGAACGAACATATTTGGTCAGACCCAGGGTATGTCTACACTACCCCGCTAGTTCGAACTAGCGGGGTAATGTAGGCATACCGCACTTGCAAATGAAGCCCGGGATTTGAATTTCCCGGGCTTCATTAGCATAAGCGGGGCTCCGCCATTTTTAAATCCCCGCTCGTTCGAACCCTGTGCCGCACGGCTACACGTGGCACGAACTAGGTAGTTCGAACTAGGCTTCCTAGTTCGAACTACCGTTACTCCTCGTGGAATGAGGGTCCACTCGTGGAATGAGGAGTAACGGTAGTTCGAACTAGGAAGCCTAGTTCGAACTACCTAGTTCATGCTGCGTGTAGCCGCGCGGCACGGGGTTTGAACCAGCGGGGATTTAAAAATGGCAGAGCCCCACTTATGCAAATGAAGCCTGGGAAATTCAAATCCCGGGCTTCATTTGCAAGTGCGGTATGCCTACATTACCCTCCTAGTTCGAACTAGGAGGGTAGTGTAGACATACCCCAAAGGTCCATCTAGCCCAATGTCCTGTCTTCCAGCAGTGGCCAATGCCAGGTGGCCCAAAGAGAATGAACAGAACAGGGAACCATCAGGTGATCCGTCCCCTGTCACCCATTCCTACCTATCCTGGCTAATAAGCATTGATGCACCTAATCTCCATGAATGTATCTAGCTGGCTGAGCTTTGCATGCAACAGAAGAAATTGTGTCGCGCACAAGGACGCCTGAACTTACCAGCCACAATAAACATGATGCCAGAGGTCAGGGTCATGTTGGCTTTTGCAGAGTCCTCCATATTGCCAATGCGGATGCATTTCAGGGCAAAAATGGACACGAGAAGACCAAGGACGCCCAAGACGATGCCCACGATCATTAGGGCTCGCACTGCCTGGAACATGGCTGCAAAACAAGTCAAGAAAAGAAACATTGGACTTCACAGCATGCGGCTGTAGCCCACGTGTCAAATTGTGGATGGATGCAGTCACACATACATTTGCAAAGTACTATGGGTAATTTGATATTGATGCACTTGGGCCTCTTTTTGTCCTTCTATGATTATACAGGGACTGAGTTCTCTTTATCTCAACGCTCTCATGGGTATGAACAGCTGTATTTCTGCAAACACAAGAGTAATCATGTGACCAAGAGGGCAGGAGTCTCTAGTGTGATGCCATCAGCTGGGAAGTCCCTTGGGATCTAGTTGTTCTCAGCTGGCAAAGAGCTGTCAAGGCCATCTTCTACACCACTCTGTACCCTCGCCTCAGCCGAGTGCGTGGAGTGAAGGACAGGGGAGTGTCTAGAGACAGAAAGTTTTCTGGATGTTCATGTGTTGCTACCAACTGGTGCTGGCTGTGATAAAAGCTCCTATTGACTTGTATGGCCATCAGTTGACGGTGTATATCAGCTGACAGAGAGGGAGAAGACACCATATGGAAAAGAGCCAGAAGTGAGCCATGATGCACTGCACAGAGGGGAAGCCACGATTCAGTGGCCATTCCCTCCAGCGCCACTCTGAGGTGAATTGAACGTTTTGAACGAGTGTTGCTCAGGGCTTTGGGGCCCCCTTTGTCAATTATTCTTTCCACCCCGCACATCGCCAAGACCGTGGGTTGCCTCACAACCACAGAATTTTAACAATAATAACAATGGAGATTGCCTATCTCCTAGAACTGGAAGGGACCTTGATAGGTTATTGAGTCCAGTCCCCTGCCTTCTCAGCAGGACCAAGTACCATCCCTGATGAATTTTTGCCCCAAATCCCTAAACGGCCTCCGCAAGGATTGAATGCACAACCCTGGGTTTAGCAGGCCAATGCTCAAACCACTGAGCTATCCCTCCCCCCTGCCATAGTGACCATAGGAAAAAATTACATCGCACAACAAGTTGGCCAGGCGTGAAGGGGGAATCGGCAATTCTGCCAGCTTTGCCCCCCTGCCATAGTGACCATAGGAAAAAATGACATCGCACAACAAGTTGGCCAGGTGTGAAGGGGGAATCGGTAATTCTGCCAGCTTTGCCTGACCTTCCTGACCCACGTCGGATGAGGAGGTGGTCAGGGGACCATGACACCTCCCCGCCATTCGGTGGGTTACCTCATGTGTGGGTAGAACCAGTAGCTTTGTCAGCTCCGCACAATGAACGTGACACATAGCAGTGGACGCATGGAGAGACCCAACCTAAATAACCACAGCTTTCAATGGGATTCGGCCATCTTGGCCATTCCGGCCTACTGCTGCCATGAGTCATTCTGCTCATCAAGCATGCCCTTATCAGGTGATAACCAGTGTTAACAAAGCAGGCATTTTCAGCCTCCCACTCATCAGTGCAGAGGTGCGATTTCATTGTTATTCATCAGAAACCCAGCGGCTGATGGATACCTGTTATCAGCCCCGAAGGGTGTTCCCGGGGCGCAGGCGGAAGCCGCGAGAAGAAAATCACCATGTGTCTTTGCACATTTTGCTTTACAAAGGCTGCAGTTTCATTTCGGCCGCTGTGGTTTCGGCGAGAGAGCAGAAGTAGCCCGTGATATCCCCAGGCAAGGCCTGTGTTGCTTGGTGTTTTGACATCCGGTGAAATTAACGCTCCATTGCGGTGAGTAAGCCACACCGGAACAGAGTCTGCACCTCTGGCTTCCTCTCAGGGAGCAAGGAGCCCTCCAGCGTGACACTGTTTTCCTTCCTACGAATGTCCTTAAAAGATTAATAACGAGCAGTCCTGGGGCAGCTTAGAGACTCACACACATATATATACTATCGTGAGCTTTCATGGGCAAACCCCACTTCTTTCGAGGAGCCTGAGAAGTGGGGTTTGCCCACGAAAGCACATGATATATAATTTTGTGAGTCTCTAAAGTGCCACGGGACGACTTGTTGTTTTCAAAGTTACAGACTTACATGGGGACCCTTCTGAGACACTTAAGGTGTGTCTGCATTGCACTCTTCACTCAAAACAAGCTATGCAATTTGCACTACGCAAGTTGCGTAGCTTATTTCGATCTTCTTTCAAAATAGCTCATTTCGAAATTTGGCGCTGTCTACACAACGCCAAATTTTGAAATAAAGCGCCATTCCGAAATGTTCCTTAACCCTCATAGAACAAGGGTTACAGGCATGCCGGGATAGCCCGCCTGTTATGTATAACAGGCGTGCTCAAAAGACGTGGAATAGCTTTTTCACGATACTGACGGACACCCGAAAAAGCACCGCTGTCTAGACGTAGCCTAAAAGATTACAATCTCTGGGAGTGAGCAAGATGGCAGGAGGGTGTATTGATAGATGCTGCTAGCACATTCTGGATGAGATAAATTGGTACATTTCAGTTGCGTTGTATCTCTCTGGTCTGGGGTGAAGCAGCCGGAACCACCCTGGATTTGACCTTGTGTTACAAAACACATGAGTCCCGACACTGTGAGTCCTTGTGGAAGAAGAATCTTTGGGTGAAGTCCAGCCTGGACTGGTGGATTGGGGCCAGAGCTAAGGAACGGACTCCTTTGAGCTGGGGAGTTTTAAAATCGGCAGTGGCATTCTGTCCCGATGCAGCTGAGTGGCAGAAGGCCAGGTAGGTGCGGACATGGCTTGGCTATGGGATGGTTGAGACATCATGGCTGTGTCTACACTGGCAAGTTATTCCAGAAAATCAGCCGCTTTTCCGGAAAAACTTGCCAGCTGTCTACACTGGCCACTTGAATTTCCGGAAAAGCACTGACGATCTCATGTAAAATCATCAGTGCTTTTCCGGAAAAACTATGCTGATCCCGTTGGGGCAAAAGTCTTTTTCCGGAAAACTGTTCCAGAAAAGGGCCAGTGTAGACAGCACAGTAGTGTTTTCCGCAAAAAATCCCCAATCGCGAAAATGACTTTTCCGGAAAAGCGTCCTGCCAATCTAGACGCGCTTTTCCAAAAACGCTTTTAACGGAAAACTTTTCTGTTAAAAGCATTTCCGGAAAATCATGCCAGTGTAGACGGAGCCCATGAGCTTTTCGACTCTGTCGTTCACGCCAACAGAAGCAAAAATGAAGGATTATGCACTCAGATCTCTCTCTCGCCTTGTAGTCCCACCTGGGGTGGGAAAGAGCAAGACACCTCATCCTCTGTGCCACAAAGATAGGCCTTACATTCACCTCCTGGTGGCCTACATCCCTTTGAAAGGCGGGACTTCGGCTCCACCCCTCTCCTGAGCATTTCCTCAGCGCCAGCCTCGACCTCTTTGTGGCTCAAGCCCCTTGTCGTTCGAAATGGAGTGAGTTAGCGCACCCATGGTGGGCCACCTCCCCAGCTGGTGTAAATCAGTATGGGGCCATCAAGCATGGCCATTATCTATGGGACTGCAATGGAGCGACACTGTTTTACGGCTGTATCCCACTCTGGGCTTGGTTCCTACCCAATCCCACCGGGCAGAAGACCACAGAAGAAGTGCCACCTGAGCTGATGCCACGTTATGTTCATATTATGGGCCTTGTGCTATCCCTTACCCTGAACACGGGCTGGTGAGTGGAAACAGTTGGGATTGGAAGCATTGTCATTTTCAGCAAAAGAATGAAACAATCAGAAACCGTTTTAATAAAATGATGTCTAAGAGGATAGTTGTTTCAACGGTGGAAGGAACGAAGATTTCTAGAATTCTCCAAACGGAGAGTATAAAACATTCTAAAGGTGTCAGCTGGAGCACTTAATAATCCATAGCCATATTTTTAAACCAAGCCTATGAAATATACATACACTTATCACGCACGGACCTGCTTGGAACATACATGGACAGTCAGCTGCACAAATGTCTATTTACACCTCTTATTGGCATGCACACCTCAAGGGGTTGCGTGCACAAGATAGGAACAAGAGATACATCCATGCAATGGCATAGACCTCCTTTGAAAAATCCAACCAGTGATATAAATGAACCTGAACAGAAAATATTTTGACATTAAATGACAACATCCCTTACCCACCCACCCACCCACCCACCCAAGCAGAAACAATGGAATTATCCATCAGCCACATCACTATAAAATGGAAGTTTTCCAATGATCTGTCAGTCAAGCAATCTGATTGGCTGAACCAGCCGTGAATGATCTGTAATAATTAATATTGTAGCTCATCATTGGGTTGTTCAGCCCAAAGAGATGTGAAAGAGACTTCTCTCTCTTTTCCCAATGTTGCTATAAATAATATGCATTGAGACCTATACATTCAAAGGTTTTTAGGCACCAATAGGAGTTAAGCTCCTAAATACCTTTGAAGATTTGGGCCTACATCATCTGTATTCCTTCAAATATAAGTCATAAAAACCCTACGGCCATTTACAGTTACTAGACTATGAATATCTTTCGAAAAATCTGCCAATTTAAAGTCAAGTCATTCCAAGTTTACATTTTAGCAATGCACTATGGAAAATAACACTGATTGAACGTCTGTTTTTGCAATACGGTGTTTCTTTGTCTGTCTAATGCATGTTCTTATTCCTAGAGATTAGGACTGAAACAGTTTTCCCTCCTGCAAAAATAATTGAAATTTAGATAAAAAGTTTCCCAACTTTAATTGAGACAAAAATTCAGACTCTCAACATTTTCACAAACCAAAAATCCAACAACGTCATTTTAAGCCAAACAAAATGTTTTACTTAATTAATTTTCGCTGTTTCAATTGGATATTGACCTTTCAAATTTTGGTGTATTGCTTTACTACCAAAACAGTTTACATTTCTCCGTGAAAAGGCATCTCAGACTGAAAAACAACATGTTGCTTCACACACATACACATAGAAAATTTGTTAGAACTTGACCGTTTCTGGCATAAAGTTTTGGTTTTAATGAGTGGACATTTTTCCTGCAAAAATGTATTTCATCAAAAAACTCCTGATTGTCTCTACATATTGCAATATGACTTAAAGAGTAACCTAATTAAAATCTGTCTCCTGACAGTGATAAATCAGTGAAGTCAAACCTAATCATCACTGTCTCAAAGGGAAAATATATTGCCGTCTTAAACCATAATCAGTCTTGTACAACTTTATTAGAGATCATTATTAAAATAAAAGGACAGCACCGGCTTCAAACGCTTTTTTTGTTTTTCCAAAACCAAATAACATGTTGTCTACCAGCCATAATGAACGTGGGTGTATTTATTAAATCACTTCTCTGGAGAGACATCCCAAACTTTATCAAGCAACAAACACAAAAACAAAAATGTTTGTCTTCAGCTGTACAGTCTCTGGTGGCTTCTCAAAGACCAAGCAAGTCAGCCATCCAAACGCACAGAACAGGTGAAAAATTCTAGGATCTGTTCTCTGCTTTACACAAGGCAATATGAACATAAAAGTCCATGATCTGTCACTGCCCTGCATCTTGGGCACTGATTTGCACCTGGGCAAGGAACTAGGATCTGTTCTCTGCTTTACACAAGTCAATATGAACATAAAAGGCCATGATCTGTCACTGCCCTGCATCCTGGGCAGTGATTTGCACCTGGGCAAGGATAAATGGATGTCAAATGAGCCAGTGACGCAGTGTTAATTTTTTATTCCACCCTGAATGGGTGTAAATAACTGCGCACAGTAATGGAGAATGGCACTGATCATTCTGGTCAGTTTCAACGTGGATCCAACCTCAGTATCTCCTAGGGCTTCGTAAATTACTCAAATGCTCTAAGGCGGGTATAAAATGTTTGGATATTTTTTTAACAAAATGATTTGGTAATAGGGACTGTCCCCTGATTTCAACACTCCTAAGTTTCCTCCCGACTCCTCTCAATACCTTCCTCTGAGTTCTTTACTCCGTTGCCCCTCTACAACTGGGTACAGTGACTGCAAAATACTACTGGATCCAAATGGGTTTGAAACCAAATTTGTATTTACCTTGCAAGGGCGCAAATCATTATACAAATAGCTCAGCCACAGAGAATCAGGCCCCAGGAATAATGGCATGGTAACCAAATGATCCAGTGGGACAAAGACGACGCCATATTTTAATACAAGCTTTCATACACCCGTCCTTATCCATCCGAATCAGCTTTGGGTGAGATGCTGTAAAGGTCACAGATCAGGTGAGCTGGTTTGCCTCCATTTACAAAAATACCCTAAAGATCCAAAACTTTTACAATTAAAATCAAATCAAATCAAATCAAATCAACCACTACCTTCCAGTGACACTTCATGTACAAAAAAGGGGCCCTTCAATTACCCTCTAGACTCTTGCGTGCCAATTCCTCTATGTCTGCTTTCAGCACCGGCTTTCTCCACAGAATAACCTCTTTCCTTGGGGAGTTGGGGGGATGTTTCCACTGGTCTCTTGCTGGAAATTATCAGTATGATCAGCCAACAAGACTGGAACAGTTAAATACAATTCCAGAATGGTTCTGATCCCCCGTTTCATGTATATTTAAATCCAAAGAGCCAGAATCGCTGCAGAATCAACGGAGGTGTGCTAATTTATTTCTAGCAGAGGACAACAATTGTGGTACAAGACAGATCTGCCTCAATCTGTAATATTTGCCATGTCAGATTATTATTTATAGTAATACAATATACACGTGTTGTTATGCACATATGCTAAATACTTTGGAGAGCCCCTCCTCCTTCCCCCCTATGCAAAGCGCTTTAAAATAGCCTCTCCTACAATTCAGTGAAAACAGTGTTGGATTTATCCTTCAAGAAAACTCCAGTGGTTCTCCTGGGTCCGTCTTTTGCCCCTACCTGGTAGCCCAAGAATGGTGTAATAAGGCCGGCACTCTGTGAAACCCGAACTCTGCCTCACGCAGCTTCTCCAGAGACCCTGGTACTGGAACACGGCCGTGACCGGGTTGTCGTACAAGTCCTGGGTGCTCCACATGTCCAGTCCAGTGGCCGCGATGCACCCTGCCACACCCAAAGACGAGACGACAAAGCCCATCACTTGGCAAAGGGTCGTCGACATGTCTCTCCCTTGGCCGGGATCGGAGCTACCTCTGTGGAAGCCGGAGACCTTCTGGGAACACTCAAGTCCTCTCGACTGAGTCACCAGAAACGCAGCTGCTCTTATCAGATGGTGCCTGCTCCGTGGCTTTGTTTGCTCAAAGTGTTTTTGCAAGATAGTCCAGTTTCGCTCTCGTTGGGTAGGGTTGTGTGTTGTTTTTGGTTGGCGAGGCTTGAGATAGGGGCTTTTGTCCTTTCCGAGCACTTGTTCTCAGAGTTAAGCAGTCACTGCTGGTCAAGTGTAGGGCAAACCCGCTTTGAACCAAGTTCGGAGGCACGTTCCCTTGCCTGAACGTGCCTGTTTCTCTCGCCGTGCCTAGCTAGGCTGGAGCCTGCTCCACTTATTCTCTGTGTGTGGCACATGGTGGAGGAGAGGGACCAAGGGAGAACTGGACACACAAATGAATTCCCCATTTTGGGGTAGACATACCCAACACAGCTCCCTGAATTCCCCATTTTGGGGTAGACATACCGTGCCAGTGTTGCCCAACACAGCTCCTTCCAAAGGCCCTCACGGATTACAAGGATCTCATTCTCACACCTTGCTCCTTCTGTCGTTCTTTACCCCCTATCCAAACAGGCACCCGTAGCTCAGGCTGGTGGTACAACCTATGCTCCCCTTGCGTTCATTTCCCACCGTCACAGCTTCACAGGGGGAAATCGGGCCATGTGTGTTTTACGTGAGTGCTTCCAAAGATCTGCCACCAAGAGCGGGAAAAGCCACGGCCTCAGCAGGCGGCAGGGAAGGAGCTGTAATAAGGATAAAATGGAAAGGACTAGCTGACGCTCTCCTGGGCACCAGAGGTATCCCCAGCATGCCTTAGAGGAGTCGCGTGCGTTTCAACCACCTTCCCCCATCTCCGACGCCGAGTTCAGGCAGGAGCTGGGCTGCGGTTGCTACCAGCACCAAACAGTTCCTCAGAGGAGCGAAGCAGATCCTGGCCATGCTATCAGCAGCACAAGCAGGTGCGGCCTAGACCCAGTTTTACATCATCTGGAGAGCTGCCCATAGCTAGCCTGGTTACCAGATGGGTAGCTACATGTTCATACAGGAACAATCCAAATGGGGACAGAGTCTATTTTGCATTTTTTTTTGCTTGACCAATTTTACCCAGGCAATCCTAGGGGTTCCAAGAAATTCTTTTAAGATGAAAAGGTTTAAGATGGGAAACACTTGTCTAGATCATCCCTGACAGGTGTCTGTCTAACTTGCTCTTAACTAGCTCCAGGAATGAAGACTCCACAACCCCCCTAGATGATTTATTCCAGTGTTTCACCACCCTGACAGGTAGGAAGTTTTCCATAATGTCCAACCCAAACCTCCCTGGCTGCAGTGTAAGCCCATTGCTTCTTGTCCTAACCTCAGAGGTCAAGGAGAACAATTTTTCTCCCTCCTCCTTGTGACACCCTTTTAGATACTTGAAAACTGCTCTCACGTCCCCTCTCAGTCTTCCCCTTTCCAAACTAAACAAGCCCAGTTCTTTCAGCCTTGCCTCATAGCTCATGTTCTCTAGACCTTTCCTCGTTTTTGTTGCTCGGCCAGACCGGGTCAGACCAAAGGTCCGTCTAGTCCTGTGTCCTGTCTGCCTACAGTGGCCGATGCCAGGTCCCCAGAGGGGGTGAACAAAACAGGGAACCATCACGCGATACCACCCCACTTGGCCCCCACTTGTTTCACCTCCCAGTGTCAATGCGCATTGCCCGGGTGTGCGCTGGCAGGAGAACCGACTGGGAGAAGCTGGGAGAGCTTTGGCTCAGGAGTAGTTCTTCATGAAGGCAGAGGGGATGCGAAAAGGAGGAAATCAATTCTCTCTCCCCCCCGTGGCCAAGGGCTCTGCTCCGGGGAGCAATATCAATTTGCCAGGCTGCTATGAGTTACAGGAGCGTCCCGACTCCCCGCTCGTCCATTCTGATTGACTGCGCTGTCCCGGCTGATTTACTTCAGCCTTGACCTAGAAACAAATTCTGTCTTTATCCAATCCAGAGCGCTCTCTGTGCGGTGGGATAGTGACCGTGACTACAAGGATGGGTGATTTACAGGGGGTTATTATAAACCTTGCCTCTGTATCCTATATAATGACATCCCCAAGACGTCCCTTTTAAGATTTTACGTGAACCAGAGCAAATGCATCCTGATCTTGACAAAGGAGAGAGATTTACAAGGAGGAATACCGTGCGAAAATCGTGGTCCATTTAGGCCTAGGTTTATAATCAGAAGGTGAAGGAAATCATATGGAACCCTGGTGGAACAGCCGCAAGAATTAGCTAGCAGCTGTGTCTTTTGTTTAGATCGCTCCCCCTGAGAAAGGATGATGTTGGGGTTGCCCTCTGAGCTGATGCGCGTGGCTTTCTCTTCTTGCTTTAATGGAGTCCACAGGGGGTTGCTTCAATTGTCCACCCCGAGACAAGCAGGAACATCTGCTCATAGAGGGACACCCCTGTACTTTTGCACAATCCGAGAAGTCGAACTTTGCAAATTAGCTGCTAGTAGTTGCCTCTTGCAACTGACTGGCAGCAAATATAATGCTTTCTGCCTGTATTTTAAAGTTTCAATGATAAAGTTGAGCCTCTCTAATCCAGCACCCTTGGGACCTGACCAGTTCTGAACCAGAAAATAATCCAGACCATGGGAGGTCAATATTGTCTAGCAGCATTACCAACCCTTCCACTGCTTGCTAGGCTGTTCGAGGACATTTAGAGGTAAATTAGAATTAAATACAGAGCCAGGATGGGTGGATGTTAACAGACTTTATGGAACTGCTGGAAACTTGGCCATGAAAGTGGACATTCAGCTAATTCAAATCGTTCCGGATGACGGAGGTTTCTGGACAAGCAAGTTCTGGATTAGAGAGGTTCAACCTGTAGGTGAGAATCCCGTAAAAGCCCGATATGAATCTCTAGCATAATCGCAAATCACACGCAGTGCAGCAAAGTCAGGTCACAAATTGCTTGTGGGCTAGCGAATTTCACAAGGAGGCCCTCAGCTTGTATAAATTGGCATCGCTTCATTGATGTTACTAGAATTACATCAGTAAGGATCTATTCCCCAGGCAGCTAAAATGAGAATTGGGCCTTAAATTTACACAACGAATGCAATAAATGGGAATGAGGTAAGGGCAGAAACTCTCGCAAGAAGAGGAGTTGATTTCATGGGATAGTCAAAT